CCAAAGAAGTGAATAATTTATTAGCATTTCCTTTCAGCAATTGTATTTTTCATAGGAACAAAATCAGTTTTTTGCTTTGTTTTTCGGTAGGTAACTCTATTTTTTCTGTTTTTATTCTCTTTTCTGGTAAATCTTAGCATTCCTGACAGTGTGTGAGAAGAAAAATGTGTGGGGCATTGTTCATTTGTTGACAGTGGATAAAAACACCTTTCAGTGAGCTATCACTTTAAGAGGACATTACAGACAGATCCCCAGTCCCCTGTGTCTTGCTCAGACATCTCCAGTGTGTGAGAGTCAGAGACAGTGGGTGAGAGCTGAGAATAAAAGCAAGTTTCATTGAGACGGAGCCAAGAGTCCAGTCATTGGCATGCTACTCTGGTTACCCAGTAGGCCTGCTGCTGGTTGACACAATTCAGGATCTTATAAGAGATGCATCAATAAAAGTTTTCGGCCGCAGATTATCATTGGGAATGCCGGCATCTATAAAGATGTCACTTTGACTTTGAAGCAGCAGTGAGAAGAAAAAGAACAGCAGCCTTTTTCATATTTTGAAACGGCAGTTTTATCTTCAGTTTCTGAATCAGATTTGGCAGATTTTCTTGTATCTCTCCGAACTTGGCTGTATCCAGGACACCACTGTGGCTTGCTGACTGTCAAAGGAATAAAGGCTTTGTGGGGAAACAAAAGAAATACTTGAATCTTCCACAGTCCTCGACATTCCTGAACAGGGCATAATTCTTGTCCTCACAAAAGCAACACTGACTCCACAGGTATAAAAAGCACAGCTTCACCTACAGGATGCTGGAGCTCAACTCTTCAGATGACAGCAAGAAGAACTCTCTTAAGGACCCTGTGTGCTTGAACGTCGGTGGAGAAATCTATACAACGACCTTAGACACTTTAACTCGCTGCCGTGACTCGATGCTAGGCACCATGTTCACCGGACAAGTTCCTATGCTTAGGGACAGCTGCGGCAACATTTTCATAGACCGTGACGGTAAAGTGTTTCGCTACATTCTGAATTACCTGCGCTCTGGCTCTTTGGATCTGCCAGATGGCTTCACTGAACTCGCACTGCTCAGGAGAGAGGCCGATTTCTTCCAGATACCCCGTCTGCTGGAGGAGATTCGTCACTATGAGGTATCGGTGCCTCTGGGCCTCAGAGGTGGGCCGTTAGGAGCCATCATGATAGTAAAAGTCGACTCCAAGGTACGTGTGATGAGGTTAGCTAGACTGTTCATCTGCTCATAATAGATTTATTTATTTTACTAGGTTAGTCGATCATGTTTACTCTTGACCACTAACTACAAGCCAAACAGTTTGTTTTTAAGTGCAGAAAAATAGAAACAGGACAAAATGGTTTGCAAAGTATTTAAAGTCCATAACCTTTGTTTTTCAAAAGTAGTACAAAGAAAATGAGACATTATATTATAATTTGACCTCAGCAAACATGTGTGGACAGTGTCTGCACATTTAATAATGGCTCAAACATCAGTAAAACGCCTTCTTGAAGTTTGCACACCGAAAGAAAAAGTCCTACAAGTGCATATGCAGTAAGGCTAGCCAAAAAAAA